GTCCAGAGTCCACTACTTCTACATCACGATGTCATGTCATGAGTGAATTTTCGACCTCAGATACACAAACCACACTTATAATACGAGTTAATTTCTTTTTCATGAACGATGAGTACTTGCGTGAGTCTGCTCAACACAAAGCACCGAACGATAACATGGATGCTACAGTTTACAAATATGTAGAGTAGTTCTGGATCCTGCCACGACAATAAAAAATTTAAGTACGAGCTGATCAATCGCTAGTCCCTTCATGGGAAGGGTGCAGATATCGTGATCCAGCAGAGAAAAGATTTTAAAACTAAGAAACAAGGAAGTCTGACCTCCGTTTTCCATGGAAGTTTGAATCTATCCTGACTACGGAACGCCAATTCTAAGAGGCATGAAATTCGAGATAAGCTATAAAACAACCATGGCAACAAGAAAACGGCATACCTGACAATCGATGCAAATACCGCCACCTTCGTATATGCCGTTCGGAGTCAAACTGAGCTTCTGTTTTTCTATTTCCGGATCATAGCGACAAGCCGTTGCGTGGCTGAAGCACTGGCATGCTAAAACACAAGGAATAAATCACAAGTCTTCGAAAAGTGATGACGTGTACTTACGTTCACACCCGCCCGAAGCAACGATCGTCCCGGGGCGCCATAACTTCTGATTGAATAACGGACAGCACACTTCACAGCTCTCACCGCATGTGTTATGCATGCACTCGCATCGAAGTTGCTGAAATGAAACTCGATTAAATGTTAACTTTAGTTAATAGTTTCGATCATAGGAGCCACTAACTTAAGATGAACCTCAGACAACAGCAACTAAGATGGTGCAAAAGAATGCAAAAATTATATTAGTACGCTCGATGTGTCAAACCCAATCAATAAAGTCTAGCAATGAAGAAGGGCCTTGGAAATAACGCTATGGTCGACTTCCACATGTGCCGGCGCGAAGTCTGCGCCTGATTAGGATGCGACAGGATGACGGAGTGATGACCGGTGAACCCGGACAGACTGCCGCGCAGGTTGAAATTTCTTCTTCTCATCGCACTCCGTTGAAGACGAAGGAGGAGCTCCAGGCGCCGTACACGTATTCCACTAGGATCGAATAAATTAGCGTTCATTCTTCAGTGCTCTCAATGTCAAGTCCGTTCTAACAATACGTTTCGATCTTTTTGGAGGTTTACCTGACGGCCGACGATCACCTGCCATCAGGCTTTGCGTACAGTATGCGCTTTACAAAACGGCTATCGCCCGTTCATTGGTAACGGCTCCACTGTCTCAAACGCCTTGTTTGCAGACAATCGGCTACTTTAGCTGGATATTCTAATTTCTCTCTTACTACAGCATTTGACACCAGATCGTACAACTTCACTTCTAACACAGATCTTAAAATCTTCATTTCTATCGCCTCCAGCTTTCTTATTTCAGCTTTGTTAAGTGCGGTCGTCTTCAAGCGATAGAAAAGGACATTCAGTATGAAAACCCGCAGATGCGTAAGTTAGTGAACTGCGAACATCCTTGTTCCGCCAGAGCTTGCGTAACTTATTGCTCGCTGCTAATGCCAACGCAGGTGCCTCATAATTTCTTCTGTCGCTCACCTTATCCAATGCACTCTCAAATTACAGATGTGCTGATACCTTTTCCATAACTTCGGTGTCAAGGGTCAGGCAAACATTGATCTGAATTTTAAATTTCTATCCGCCCCCACTTCTATGTTTCACATTAAATGAGACCCAGGACAGAACCTATGCCACAGAGACAAGACCGCTGATGTCGGCGGTCCATCATCCGCTTCCATCTTTGGCGGCCCAGTAACAACATTCATCTTTTGTCCAGATATATCATAACAGTGAATCTTGTTTTAAAGTCACATCAGAGCTTAATAGCGATTCAAAGTTTTTCCCCATATCTCAATGACTTCCATAGGATCGGACGAGAGGTTACCGTCATCTTTAACAAGGAATATTATTCAAAGCTTCCTCCTGTCGAATAAACAATGGACATTCCTGAAAAAGGACTTGATATAGTTTTTACCAGCCGCTAACTTTCATTATTTCAGCCTGCCTTGTCCAGAAAATCGCTTTAACATTCCATGGCGATTTTTCAACATCTTTTTGGGCTGTTCTTTTTGTGTCACCAATTTCGAAAATCGTTTAGTCTCCAAATCTATCCACACTATACTTTGTCGCCCTTTTCTTCTGTCCCAATTACTCTTCAGTCGTTGTTACTGCATCCTTGTATATGTCGCATAATTTTTCCCGCGATATATCGCCTGTATAATCAGTAGGAGGAGAGAATCTTGCATCGATCGTGATCTGATATGTTTGAAACACTCTGGACATATAAACTTTATACTCTGCAGTAGATTTTTGGCCGCTAATCAAGGACTGGCGCTTGACTTTAACTATAGTCACCAGCAGCTCATGGTCGCAACCGCATTCAACACTTCTGTACACCCTGACATCTACGCATAATATATGACTTCAAGTGACAAGAACAGTGTCAATCCTATTTCCCACTGATG